AAAAAAAAGAAATTTAAAGAAGAATCACAAATCAACCTCAAGAGGATCTACATGGTGAGTCTACCCCTTCCAGGTCAGGCCAGGGTGACGTGCACAGAGGGATCATCAGGGCCCAGGCCAGCCAGGCGGCTGGGTCCTCCTGAGGACGGATTCAGCCCAGCAAGCTTTCTCCAGCCCGGTCTCTGGCAAAGTGGCTCCGTCCATCGCGGAGGGACTAATAACCTTGCTGGACTTGAACCTTCTTCCTCCTGTGCTGGTGGGAGTCCTCCTGCCCCAGCCGGCCCAGCTGCCTCCCTGCCTTTCGTCCTCTTCCTCTTCCTCCGTTGGTTCAACAGTCCTGGAGCAGGTCCCGTGAACTGTGGGTACTGACTTTGGGGACCACTGGTCTTTTTAATGAGTGTATAGTTTTGCCTTTTCCAGAGTATCACAGAGATGGAACTGCACATCGTACAGCCTTTTCAGACTGGCTCTTTCACTTAGCCACACGCGTTTAAGGCCCTTCCATGTGTGTTCATGGACATAGAGAGCTCATTTCCTTTTTATCAGTGAGCAATATTCCATCGCATGGAAGTTCTAGTGTTGGCTTACCCTACACCTACTGAAGGACATCTTGGTTGCTTCCAGGCTTTAAAAAATAGGAGTGAAGCTGTTGTGTGGGATTTTGAACAGACATGCTTCATCTCATTTGGGTAAATAACTCAAGTGACGCTGGGTTGTATGAAGAGAATACGGCTGGCTCCGTAAGAAACTGCAGCAGCTGTGTCACTTGTCACTTTCACCAGAGTTCCCGATGCTCCATACCCTTCCAGCTTGGATGCTGTCAGATTTTTCGATTTTAGTCATTTTAATAGGCAGGTAGTGACATCTCATTGTTTTAATGTGCATTTCTCTCTATGATGTTGAACATATTGTTACACATTTATGTGCCACCTGTAAGTATTCTTTGGTGAGATGTCTATTCAGATCTTTGGCTCATTTTTAAATCAAGTTGTTGTTTTCTTACTGCTGAGCTTTAAAAGCTCATTGTATATAAGTCCTTTATCAGGTGTGTTTTACAAAATTTTTTTTAGTTTGTAGATTGTTTTCACTCTCTCAATGTCTTTGGCAGAGGAGTGTTTACTTTCAATCAAGTTCCACTTATTAGTTTTGCTCCCATAGAACATGCTTTTGACATTATGTCTAAATGATCATCACCAAACCCAGGATCAACTAAATTTTCTCTTTTGTTATCTTCTAGAAGTGTCATAATTTTTGCATTTTATATTTAGATCTATGATCCACTTTGAGTTAATTTTTATGAGGAATGTAAGGTTTGTGTTTACTTCTTTTATGTGGATATCTAGTTGTTCCCACACCATTTGTTTTAACATTTTAATATTTTCTGCCAACTTACCTTCCAGTTATTTAATTCTTTCTTCAGCTGGATTTACTTGCTGTTAAACCCTAATAATAAGTCCTTAATTTTGATTTTGGGTTTTTCGGATTGAGAATTTCTATTGGGTTGTTTTCCAAACGTTTGTATAATTTTGAGTTCTCTTGAACATTCTTCAATCTATTGTTTTATCTTCTTAAACATAATAAATATATCTATTTTAAAGTCTGTGTCTATTCATTTGAACATTTGAGGCATTTGTGGTAAAGTATAAAAAGTATTTCTACTTTTTATTTTTCTGCTAGCTCTTGTTTTATGTCACATTATTTTGTCATACATCTTCTTTATCTTTGGTTTTGTGCTGGATATTGCTCTTTGTGTGTGTGTGTGTGTGGGGGGGTGCTGGGGAATGAACTCAGGGTCTCACGTATGCTATGCAAGTGCTCTACCTTTGAGCAAAACCCTCAGTCCCAGACATTATTTTTTTTAATATGTATTTTTTAGTTGTAGTTGAACACGATACATTTATTTATTTATTTTTACTTATTTTCATGTGGTGCTGAGGATTGAGCCCAGGGCCTCACATGTGCTAGGCAAGCACTCTACCACTGAGCCACAACCCCAGCCCCAGATACTGTACTTTTAAAAATGTTTGTGGAATCCTGAATGACTTAGGGTTATACCTGCTTCTCTCAGTACTTGTGGGCACCTGCATCTGGTAGTGAAGAATTACTAGATGAAGTTCTAGAAGGAAGTGAAAATTTAGATGAACTTTGATCCAATTTTACAGCGTGAGATTTCCTGGATCACACAAATAACTTACAGCTCCTTGGCAATTCATGTGAGGGCTGATTTACTTTTATTTCTCATTCATGACCCAAGTCTGAATCTCAATCCATTTTATCAACCAAAAGAACAGGGAGATTACCAAGGACCCCACTCTGGCAGGACATGGACTCTAACACTTCAGTCCCCCCGGGTCTCACATAACTGTTGGCAAAACTGCTGTGGCTAGAAATCATTTATTCCTTTGAAAAACACAACCCAAAATACTATGTTCATCCAAATTTTTACTTCCTTTTAGAACTTCATCTAGTAATTCTTCACTAAATTTAGAAAATCTCCAATGCCATTAAGCACAGGTTTTTAAACAATTTCTCTACTTCTAATAATCCTTCCAGTAGGAGAGGTGACACTGATTACCTAATCTAATTTGTCATTTTTTATTTTATTTTATTTTTTTTTTTGGTATTGGGGATTGAACCCAAGGGTGCTTACCCACTGAGCCACACCCTCATCCCTTTTATTATTTTATTTTGAGACAGGGTCTTGCTAAATTACTCAGGGCTGCACTAAGCTACTGAGGCTGGTCTAGAACTTGCAATCCTCCTGCTTCAGCCTCCCAAATTGCTGAGATTACAGATGTGTACCACTGTGCCTGGCTCTTAATTTGTCATTTCTCACTGTAAAAGTCAGAACAAGAACTTTCATCCTATGAATTTCACACATATTTTGTCTCTGTGGCTTTTAATACAATTGATTTTCTATTATCGTGGGCATGTATTCCTACCTCCATTAGAAGGCCAAGATTGAGTCTAATCTGTGCAGCAACTGTCCCTGCCTGGAATAATTATTTGTTAGATCAAATAATCCTGTCTTTTCTGATGTCTTTGCTGATTATTCATGCCAAAATCACATTGTTTTAAATAAATTTAAAAAAAAATTTTTTTGAGTTGGGGGTCTGTGTTGCCCAGGCCCCAAAGTCCTGGCTCAAGTGATCCTCCTGCCTCAGTTTCCCGGGGAGCAGGGGCTACTGGCATGCACCACCAGCACCAGCACAAATTCCATTCTTCTATAAGCATGGTCAAAAGCATCGTTCCCTTCCTGTTTGTTTGCAACATCCTGTGTCATTTTAAATGTTATTCTATTGCATCATGTATTTGAATTCAAATCGATCTTTATTCTTTCCAGATGTGCCTTATAGTGCATGTCTACATATATATACTTAAAATACACATATTTTGTATGTATTAAATATTTAAAAGCTATATTAACATGACAACGGAACATTAATTTCATCTTGAAAATTTTGTGACACTTCTTAGAAACTCTTGACAAGAACACTTAGCAAAACGGAGGTTGCTAGCCACAGGATAGAAAGTCACCAGAACACTTCTGTGTGTAACGTGATAGTGATCTCGCAAAAACAATTTTGTGCCTCTTTTCAATTTCAGTTCTTCTTCTTCACTAAGCAGCAGTATATGGAATTGTTCAGTATTTTCCTGCTCCCCCGCCCCTCCAGCCCCCGTGGGGAAAGAAGTCAATATATCATGAGATTGATGGTATGTTTTGAAATTTCTGGGAACCAGTGGTAAGGGAAAGAAGGGCTACATAAGGGGCATGCATCTATCAGAAATAAAGATATTCTCTAGGTTGCAAATTTCATGGATAATATTCCTATCAACTCAGGAAGAATTTATACTGGTCCCCAGACTTGGACAGCATGCCTGCCTGGTGCATACTTCTATAACAACATATTTCCTCTTTCTTAATGCATCTCAGAGCATTTGTTCAAGGCATACCTTCCTTGCTGGAGTTGAAAGACTTAATGCCAAAGATAATTCCCCTAAATTGCCTTTAATAAGTACAAAGCATGAAATAGCATTTTAGTGGGTTTCCATAATCTAAGAGCTATAAACTGAATTTTCCTTCATAACCCAAGGGAAAGTAAGCCTTGCCTGTCTGGATCCCACGCCCTCACCCAGCACTCTTAGACTCTGACCACTCATCAAGTGTAGGAATAGCCTGTCCTAATCTCATCTCCAGAACTATGGCCCTCATCAGCATCATGGGCTGGGCTCTGGTCACACTTCTTATTTTTGGTGCCAAGTGTCCTTCTGAAACTCAACAGAATGCTCACTGGCAACAAAATCAACCTTGAATCACTCAGATGCTGGTCACCTCTGAAGATATTAGCGATTCTTAGCAGGGCACAGAAAGGAAAGCCTGCCCCGTCAATATCACCATTAACACGCTCTCCTTCTGAGATGCTGTTTCTGTCCTTCTGCCTTCTGGTCCCCGCCCACTCACCCTGAGATTCTTGCTGACCCTCTGTCCTCATCAACAAAACAGAACAAGCACCTGAGAGGCCAGTCTGAGGACTAGGGCACTCCTGCCGAGAACGAATGTGTGGCGTAGACAGGCACTCCAGCTGGGCGCTATTATCAGCATGAGTTGTCTGCTCATGGCTTTAGTTTTAACTAGAATGCTATTTTTTTCTTCCTAAGAAGACAGGTAGGTAGCATATGTTGATTTTGTTTTTGGAATTTTTTTGTTTGTTTGTTTATGTGTTTTGTTTTTTTGGAACTAGGGATTGAACCGAGGGGCACTTAACCACTGAGACACATCCTCAGTCCTTCTATATTTTATTTTGAGACAGGGTCTCACTAATTTCCTTAGGTCTTAGGCTGGCCTTGAATGGGTGATCCTCTTGCCTCAGCTTCCAAAGGGATTACAGGAGGGCGCCACGGCACCAGGCTCTTACATGTGGGTTACTGCAATGAGTTAAAGACCCTACATTTCTGCACACTAAGCCAGTACACATGCCCAATTTCACATCCGAGCTTACCTTGGGAGGTTTCCTTAATGATGGAAAGAAAAAATTTCAGCGGCAGAGATACAGAGGGTGGTCAACACAGCAGCCACATCAGGGGAAACAATGAAAGAGAAAAAACAGAAGGTAAATTCAGCACCATGGTCACAGATCTGCAAAACACTCTACTTCCTGAGGCTCAGAGGCCCATCCAAACACATCCCTGCCTGAAGGAAAGGACTCTCGAATCTGCTCACAGACACAGCCTACGCGTCATGAACCTCCCCTGTCCTGGTTTAACAGAGCAGATCCAGACTGTTACTGGGACGCGTTTTTAATGATTCTAAGAAATGGCAATGGATGAGCATTGTATATTGTCCAAAACTTTTAAATCAGTTTTCACATTTAACATTTTTCTTAAAATTGGCATTGATATATATGCATTTTTTTCCTTGACAAACTATTATATATTTTAAAAGCATGGTTCTAAATAATAATCTTCACTGATTTCAATTCTGAATAGAACAGAAACTTAAAAGCCAGTTATCCCCTTTCACCGTCAACAAGCACACACACACACACACACACACTTTGTATAATGACCATTTTTCCCTGTTAATAACTCCAGAAGCACTGAAAGCACACCTGGAGGGAACTCGGATGAGGATCAGGTTTTCAAAGACACAGAATATTAGGTTGTCTTGCTTTGTAAGTATTTTCCTGTGTGCGAAACCAAGGAACTGGTTTTAGATTTCTAAGGTGGGGGTTCCTACGCCCGTTCTTGGCCCTCCCGATGTCATTCTTGGTCAACTGTGATCATCACCGTTCATAAACTGAAATGACTATTTCCCAGGGCTTTACTCCACCCTCACAGGGACAGTGTCACAGGGACACAATAGATTTCCCAGGCAGAAGGCATGAGATAGAAAGGCATGGCACCTTTCCCCATCCTTGGGCTGGACAATTCTCGCAGAGCTCAGCAGCAGGGGAAATGCCCTCTGACCTCACAGTCAGGTGGACATCCTCCAGCTCTAAATGCAGAGAAAAATCACAAAATTCCTATTGTGGCAGAGCTGAAAAGCCATTTTCTTGGAATTCCACGAGTTAGCCAAGAGGAAACAAGCCGTTGGGCCTTACATCATTATCTTGGACAAGCACAATGGGAACGCAATTTTTGTCTTCAGGTTTTTTTGGTCTAGAATAACTGGAATCCGGCAAGTCTCAACATATTTGTGTGTCTATCCCTTAAGACGAGATAAATATTTATAGATGTTGGAGTAAAAAATGCATGAGTGTTTTTAATTCTAAAAAGGTCAGGAATTTTCATTCTGTATACAAAGTCTGAGGTTTTGCCAAGAAAATTTCCTTAAGTGGAACACTGCTCTGGCAGGCAGTGTCTCAGAGCAGGTAGGATAATGAACACCTCACGCACTACACACTTTGTCCCCGGGATGGGGATTGAACCCAGGACCTTGTGCTTGTGAGTCAAATGCTCTACCACCAAGCTACACCCCAGCCTAGGCACTGTATTTTTGACTAGGACTTTTCTCACTTTGCTTGCTTTATCTAACAAAGGAAGGAAATGTCACTTGGGTTACAACAAAGCAATCACCTGAAACGGCATGCACCATGTCAGTAAGACACAGTCGTTCCTAGGTATCTATAAGGGGTTGATACAAAATCCACAGCTGCTCAACTACTGTACACATACTGGTGTAATATCTGCATATAACCTATGTGCATCCTGTATAATTAAAATCATCTCTAGCTTTCCTAATATAATCTAAATGCTATGTAAATAGCTGTTATGCTGTATTATTTAGCAAATGATGACAAGATTTAAAAAAAAAAAGGCACACTTTTTTCCTTGAATATTTTTGATCTGTTGGTGGTTGAATCTGAGAATGCAGAACCCACAGGTGTGGAGGGCTGATTGTCTAGTTTCCTTTTAAGGTTTCCTGATAAACCGGAGGTGGGACAGGCTAACTAGATCCCCGGGAGCTCTCCAGAGTTCCTGTGTGTGTCCTTCACACTAGAGCCACACAGTACTTGCCACCAGCAGCCAGGAAGCAGGGCTGGTTGGCAGCCAGTATCGGCACATTGATCTTGTTAGCTGCCAATAAAAAAATTACCCTTTCTTCCCCGACATTCTAATAGGCTTTTTTCATTCTTCTTAGAAAACCTAATCCTATTTCAGCCTTCTAAGTAGTTTAAAAGGGTACTCCTTTCACGCCGAAAGCACAACATATGGTAATAACACCACAATTCTGCGATGGTCTTTTGTGTTTTAAGGACTGCTTATAACCAACGAGTGGGGGCTGGGTAGCAGGGAAAATGGAAACCGCGAGGCTCATCTGCTCTCCCCACACGCAGTCATCATTTCGTTTAGAACAAGGAGTCCCATTAAAGAAGAGAGAGCCGCGGAGGGCATCACAACTGTGCTTTGTTAACTGGCCCACCTTTCTTAAGATGTCAATCAGGTGATGAGCAGAAGTGGACTATGGTTCTAAGGCAGAACCATAGTCCACTACCCAAATCCCTGGAGGTTGAACGTCAATCTTTGGTAGTTGTGGAAAAAAAAATTTCCCAGTGTGAGTAGTACTGATAGCATAATCAAATACAGTTTGCTCTTCTTTGATAGAAACTCATGTGATATTATAATGTAAAAATGAAAGGTTTCAAGGTTTCACGTATATGCAGGTAAACTATAAAAAGAACAGGAGGCCACTAGGAGGAGATGGTGCCAGTGCTCTGGGGCTTCTACATTTAGAAAATGAACCAAGTCCAGACAATCGAAAGAGGCTGAGCATTAGTTATTTAACCAGGAACGTTCCAACCAGGACAGTTCAAATAAGGCAACTCCTCCAACTTGAATCAAGCAAGTAATTCCTCTGCTCAGCCTCAAGTTCACCCTGCAAATGCTTTCCCCTCGTGTTTCTTTGGTGAAGCCCCAAGCCACTTCCTCTGTGGAGCCGCACAATTCATGAAGCATTATCTGCATAAGTAAACTCTTAAAAACGTTAATGTGCCCACGTTCACCTCTTAACAATATGGAAAAGGAAGAGATGCAGATGATTCATGTAAACACCTATGTGATTCCATACCATCGATATTAAATATAGTCATGTACCAGAGTGGCAGTTAAGTCCATGACAGACACACAACAATGTTGGCCCCATAAGATAATGCTGCCCAGGAACACCACAGCTGCCTAGTTTGTGGAAGCACACTCTAAGGTGTTCAAACGAAAATGAGGCTACCAACGCCTCCCTCAGAACTTGGACCCTCTCAGCCTGTGCTCCTGCTGTGGAGTGCCCCTGCCTGGGTGTAGATTTAATGTTGTGGCCCTTTTCTGATGACATCAGTCAAAGCCACATCCCTATTGTTGAGAAACCTGTGTGGCTCTGTTGCGGAAGGAGGCAGTGTTTCCGCTAACCAACTATCTAGTGAACTAAGAAGAACATTCCTTCAAATAGACCTGAATGAATGACCCCAAGGCACAGGTGTGGTTGCTGACTCCTTAGCAAACATTTTACTGCCACTTGCTTGAAAAAGTGTAACTCCCGAGCCTTCTCGGCTGCCTGCTCTCATTCATTCTCCAAAAAGCCCTTGTTTTTAATTGCACAAACCTCTGGAAGGGGAAGTAGATTTTTCTGTGTATGCCAAAGAAATAAACTGAAAACAACTTGATATTTTCAAAGCCAGCCAAGTGATCTTGTTTGCAGGTCTCGGGATTTGGAGAGAAAACGAACAGATGTGGCTCTACCCTGACTGTGGCACTACTTGTGCAAGACACTGAAGCTCCTCCCCACTCCCAGGACAGGCGGGTTGATCTCTCTGCACCAGGTGTATTTACCACACAGCTCATGCAACTTGTATGCCCCTGACTCTCTTCTGTCCCCCCAGCTCTGCCTGACCCCTCAGACACCTCTTCAAGACCAGTTCAAGTCTCAACTCTGTCAATTCCTCAGCACTTGGCCCTCACTGCCTCTAACACTCCAAGGTTCCTATATCCCACAAAACAGCTTAGCGCCTGCTGGCACACACAGCTGGGGAGCCTTGTAGTCAAGTCTTTTGTTTTTTTAAAATTTAACCCCCTTGAAAAACGAGGCCATGCTACACTGCTTTCATCACCCCATCCCCCACTCCATCTCACCCTCTCAGCACAAGAACTCAGAAATAATATTTTGCCTTAGAGAATTAAACGTAATCCAGATGTGGAATTTACTTAGATCACCACCAGGGCCCCACAATTTTGGGGCAAGACTGCCTTCACTTAGCAGATAGGACTTCAGAGGGACCATGGGTGCTGCTCAGAGGTCAATCATGTGCTTAGGATGCAGAACCAAAAAAATCTTCAGAAAGCACAGACAACCTCTCATGGTTTATTTATTTAAAAACAATATTCCTCTCGACCCGCATTTCATACAAAGTTGAAGTTCTATGGGATTTTAACAAAGGTCAACTAAAAAGTTCTGATGTCATTAAACTGGGAAATGCACTAAGCCCAATACGGGTTATTTGACGGCACAGCTTTCCATGCTGATGTATGTCTCTGATGTCACTGAGTAAATGCAGCATTTCAACAGCAACATTTCCCAATATATTTGACCACAGACTTCTTTGAGAGGAACATCTTGGAGCATATTTTGGGAAACACTTCTCATTGATTTCAATGGAAAACAACCAAAAAGGCTTTCATGAATGCAATGAGATTTCAAGTCTCTGCCAAAAACATTTCCACCATCAAGATGTGTCAATTTTGCAATAGAAACAATAAAATTCTGAGATAAAATGATTAACAGCATGTTACAATTCTCACCAGGAGTGTTCTATTCAGATCAAGTTTTATAAATCAAGTTCATTATTTGAAAACTCTGATGATTCAAAAAAAATGTTTTGGAGGTATAATAGCTTGTAAACATAATAAAATAAAATTCCAATTTAAAAAATCGTTATATTTCCTTTCTGCACTTGCAGAATTTTTCTTTCTCCCTCTCCCCTGACCCTGCAGGACTAGCGATTGAATACAAATGCACTCTGCCTCTG